AACACCACACACACAGCATCACCATCAACACCACCAACCATCAACACCACCACACAACACCATCAACACTACACACACTGTACCACAACACCACACCACACACTATCACCATCAACACCATCACACACCACTACCATCACCAACACCAGTACCACTCAATCACCATCACACACACACACACACCATCAACAATGCCATCCACCACTCAATCACCATCAACACCACTCATCACCATCACCATCAACCACTACACACACAGTCACCATCAACACCACTACCACCATCAACACCACTACCACCATCAACACCTACCACTATCATCAACACAACTACTGCTATCACCATCAATACACCACATCACCATCAACACCACTATCACCATCAACACCACCATCACCATCACCATCACCACTACCACCATCAACACCACTACCACTATCACCATCAACACCACTACCACTATCAACACCACTACCACTATCAACACCACTACCACTATCACCATCAACACCACTATCACCATCAACACCACCATCACCACTACTGTCACCCACCCCTCAAGGTCCCCTAGGAAGGTGTAGATGGAAAGACACCCCTTCCCCCCTAGGCCTTAAAACCCTTACTTGAGGTTAAAAATAAATAAACATATATTATTATTATTATAATTAAACCAATAAGAATCAGTAATGTGTTAATCTACCTACCTATTTGACTGTTAGGAAGTGTACCGTACGTTAGTTTATTGATACATCTGATTGACGTATTAAATATTTATGTTAATTAAAATAAGTTTAAGTAGATATTGTATGCAGCAGTGACCTGAATGTTTACTTTTCGTGGGTTTTTTTTTTTTTCTTAGTTGTGTTGAAAAATATCAAATCTATTTATATATTTCTCAGACTCCATGTTGTTTCCTTCTTCATTGATGCTTCTTTCGGTATTTTCTCTTACTCCCCTCACTTCTCTCCTCTTCATCTTTAAACATATCTTTCGTCTGTGTCTGTTCTTCTTCTTCTCTAATTTTCCTCTTCTTCTTTCCCTCACCCCCATTTTCTTTCCCTCTTTTCCCCCTTCTCCATTCCTCCACCTTTGTTTCTCTACTCTCTTCTCTTCCTCCCCTATTAATACCTATCCCTTTCCTCTTCTCTATCTAACTTTCCATGTTCTTTTCTTCTTTTCCCTTCTTCTCGACCCTCCCCCTCTCTTCTTTATCCCCATACTCTCTTTTTCTCTTCCTTTCTTTTCGTCTGTCCTCCCATACAGGTGTCAGGGAAGGGAAGGGAGTGTGCTATCTATATCAGTAGGGAATATATACAGTCCTTTTGAAGTTTGTCTGGGGCTCAGCAACAAGATTACAGACGGATTTCCTAGTTAATGTTTTTTTAAGTAAATATTTAAACAGAAGCCAATTTTTTTTTTTACATTTTTTGTTCATTCTCTTCTCTTAGTTATTTGCCATTACGCCTCTTTTCAGAATCCGAGACATTTAGGTTAATTTTTTTTTTTTTGCCATCCTGTGCCCTTATTTCTGATTGCAGTACAGTACGTATTCTTATCTGATTATTTAATTGTTCAGTATTGTATGTATGATATGTGGGTATATAATAGCTACCCTTAGTGGTTATAGTGCTTGTTTTTTCTCCAAATGTCACTGGGTCTTGCCAAGCCCCCCCCCCCTTCCCTCCCTCCCTCAGTCCAATCAACTATGTGATCACGTGAAGTTTAGACCCAGCTCATTTCCCTTTAAAATTAACCACCTTAATGCTAATCTAACCTAACACAACATAACCTAAACTAACCTGATCTAATATAACATACACAATATAACCTAACCTAACCCCATTCAGTTAACATTAGATGAGATAAGCTAAGGGGCTAATGTTCACATGATCGGCCCAGCTATGTAAAGGAACCTGACTTTACTAGTAGGGAAGTGATGGCAGCTGGATGCAGTGCCAACCACAACTTCTCCTTGTGTACTAAACACTTAACACAATGTTCAGTACGTTGTATCTTATCTGGAATGTCCCTAATGGGCTATCAGGCCTCTGGGACACACAAGCACTAACTGTACGTAAACAACATTACAGCAAGACACCTACTGGTATTCTGTTACAGTTCTCCTGCTCAGTTTAGAGGTGCATTTATATTCATTACCGTGTAGTTACATTTTATCCGATACATCTATGAAATAAAAAACTCTTTATCAATCCCTAAAGTGAGTCACAGAGGTCTTAATTATTTGGGCAAAGTGTAATAGGCCTAAAGTTATAGAAAAAACAACATCCTCATCACCCTTAACGATATGTCTGACTTATATCTTACTAAATAATTGACATAATAAGCGGCAAAAAGGTCCCTCATCTGCAGTGTTACCAATAAAACTTCCTAAAACATCAAGTTATTTGCAGTGTTAAAAATTAAATGTTCATTAATATGTAAATAATTGTACAGCTTCACCATAACTTGAGCCAATAAGAAAATTAAAGGAAATGAAGTTCTGGTTGGGTTGACTTACCTTCCTGTTCTGTGCCACACCTCATAAGTTTAAGTTGGTGATAACATCTAAAACGCTGAAGGTCGGACTCTTAAAGTTATTTAAGTGCTCGTCTAGTAATAAACTTTAGACATGTGACATAATCTCTCGGTGCGTTCCAACAGTTCCCACCTCTCCTCCTCCTTGCTGCTGTCTCTATCTACTTTATTACCTAATATATGACGCTAATAAAAACCAGTGTTGCATGACTAAGAACTGGTGTTGCAATACTAAATACTGTACAAGCCTGAGAAACACAAATGATCTCACAGCCTACTAATAAAAAACCTCATAGAGTTATGCACAATTAAGTCATAAACAAACATCTCAGGATAAGGAGAATGCAGCACAAGTTGACAGACACAAGACCCACAAACAACACAGGTGACGATGATGCCCCCTCCACCCCCCCCTTCCCAGTCATGTGACAGATGAAGTGTAAAAATACATTAAGGAAATTAACATATTCAAGGACTTTGTGTCGTAACTATCATGCATGCAAAATTTATCCCCAAAAGGGTACATTATATATCGCCACCAATCCTAAATTTGAAGATAATATAGTTCGGTATATTTATCATTGATGCGTTAAATCATTACAATAGAGGCGCTTGTCACCTTTACACAGATACTGGTCAATGAGACACTTATTCACCCACTATTAACACACATGCCTGCCTTCCTCCTCTTCCCACCACCACTGATGTACTGTATGTAGTTGTCTGGGATAACCGTGAAGTCTTACCAAAGTATTTAACTAACTAGCAACTATCTGTCCTCTTTTTCCACTTCCACACACGGACGATCAAAGGAAACCAGAACCTCAAAAGAAGATAAGGTAGGTCGGCGAGATGCAAGACAAGTGGAAAAAGTAACAGTAAACGGCTGAAGCAACAAACACAAACACGCTTTTTAACATAAAACACTTTATATTACACGTGTTTTTACTTGATAATTGACAAACGCTCGCTGTCAGGGCTTAGGTCAGTCTTTCAGTTTAATTCTTTCAGGATGAAGGGTTAAGTTACCATTCCCCAGGGGTTAAACCATCATACTCTAAGGGTTAAACTATAATCTGTGAAATAATTTATTTGTCATTCTAAAGATATTAAACCATCATCCTCAGAGGGTTAAACACCATACTGAGGCTTCGGAATATTCTAGAGTACAAAACAGCATTTCGGTTTGAATTGGTCCATCTCAAGTGGGATTTTTCGTTTGTTTGTTTTTCCAAATCACAGACATTTTGTAATGCACTTATAAAAAAAAATCACCTACTGTACACGTATTCATAAAAAAATAGACTTTAACATATTTTAATCTCCGTGAAAAACTGAAGAAAAACTTGTAGCACTGTAATATACCATATACTGTACAGTACAGTACAGTGTGCACAAATACGAAATATGATACAGAAAAATCATCCACGTCCATAACAAATAAATTTCTTCACTTCACACTTACCTTAATACACAGCAGCATCCACGCTCCTTCACCTCAGTAACATTCCTGTACAGTCACCCAAAAAAGTCCTGACGCATCATTCCTTCCATAAATGTTTCGAATTTGCAGGTCTGAATATCAAGGTCTGTCGTTCAGGATGAGAGGTGACAAGACTTTTGTGGGTGACTGTTCATAAACTTGTGTTCTTAATCAGAGCCGTGCACAGGAACTGTCAGATGGGGGGGGGGGGTGAGAGTTTGCAAAAAGGGCACCATCCCCTGAGGGAGGAGGCAAGCAAAACAAGCCTTTACAGCTGATCTATTTGAGAGCCATTTTGAGGCCATATGCAAGTTGCTGTATGTCCCTTTAATTTTGGTATATTTTATAATTTTGAAATGAAATATAGTTAATATACAATAAAAGCAACACACAAACTGCTGCTTTACGAAATACTGGTTGTCAATATGGACTGATAAGCCTTTTTTTTCATGGCTAGTGGATACCCTACTCTCTTGTTACTGATGAGTGGTAAAAAAAAAACACCATCGAGGAGAGCACTTCGTAATTGGCCCCCCTTGAGCCCTACCTGTGCACATGTCTGTTCTTAATGCAGATTCTACCACTGTACTTTGTTACTATAAGAGAACTTGAATCATATTTCTTCTTCATTCATATACACAATTTAAGTTATCAACAACCACACAAATTTTTACTTATGGGTTTTCAATTATTCTGTTATTATTGTTCTTAAGGGGAAGAAAAGTGTCTTAGTTCATACATCAGAGGTGTCCTGATGATGGTGGCAACCCTTGACAGTACATGAAGAAGAGTGTCTGTGTTGGCACTTGCTCCCACCCACCCGTGACTATAACAGAAAAGTCCTTAAAAGAGCGGAGAGAAAACAAAATCCCACAACATCAACAAGACTTTAGTACTGTGATGGATTCTGCATTAGTCTGTGACCATATGGAGACAGATTACACATCATAACATAAGTAGAGTACACAGATAGAGTACTCACAGTGAAGGAGTAGAAGCCATCAGGAACCGGCTGCCCACCAAACTTGACGGACAGTGTGTACTCCCCGGCATCCTTCACGGTGTAGTAGATGCTGAAGGTTCCGTCACCATTATCCTCAATATCAATATCCAGGTCACTAAGAGGTAGAAAAAAGAGAAGCTGGTCAATATAGACAATTAAATCACATATGGTTTACTATAATGACTTACAAGGCATGACTACTGGACTGTCATCTTGCCTCACTATGCATCCATCTAAACAACAGAGTTTGTTCTTTGATCATTTTACACACCACCTGAGCCACTACACATCCTTCTAAAACATAAATGATATTGTACAATTATCTGAGGCTAACCTAACCTAACATAACTTAACCTAACCTAATCTATGCTAACCTAACCTATGCTAATCTAACCTAACCTCTAATAATTTAACCTATCCCAATCAAACCTAATGCCCTCACCAGACATGAACCTAAAACATACTGTAGTTTACCACATTCATAACATCAGGTCACCACACCTCTCCAAACCTTTACCTGTCAAACACCTACAGGAAATACTAAGATTACTCTCTGAACAAATTTATGAGTTACTTTCTGTTTGCACAAAGAAAATATGACAGTTTGTGATGACCGTTTCCAGAGAGAAGCAACAAGAGAGTAACAAGGAGAAAGTAGAAAATAAAAGAGAAAGTAAACAAAATGGTGAAAAAATATAAATATAATCAATCCATTATGTTCTAACCTGACCTGATGTGACCCAAGATTGTGAAGATTATGATGTAAAACTATTATGCGATTATTGCCAGAGTAAAACAATTATTAGTTGAAATATTGCTGGCAGTAAGGAAATATTGTACAGTACTTCTTCCTTTTATTATCCTATAGCTATACATACTGCATATAATTATCATTACAGGTTATATAACTTATCAACAAGAATATCAATATGTTTTTCACATAAATAAGACTATAATTTATCATCAGTAACCTAATACTGTACTGTATTATATTGCCTCGTCACACAACCAAATGTATGTTCAACCAAATCTTATCCCGACATTCTCAATAAACTGCCCAGGACACTACAACTCAATGTATCACTCTCCTATGGTTACAATAATTAACGAGAGATCTTCACCTGCCAGATGTTGAACGGATCCTGCACGTGACCGCTCCACTGCCAGCATTCTTGGCGTTGACGGTGATACAATATTCCTCACCAATTGTAAGTGAATGATTGATGCCTTCTGTGATCTTGCACTTGTCAGCCTGGATGGATGAAATGATTTATTCAGTATTTAAATATTTTACTGATCTAACTCATGCCTATACAGTACCAAGTTTTGTTTACTGTACTAATATCACAAATCAAAATTTCTGTATTATCAAAACACATACTAGTTCTTGATACATATGTCTGATTATGTATACAGAATAATTATTATTATTATTATCATTATTATTATTATTTATATCATCTCTAAATTTCTATAATATAAAAAAATATAGTCACAGTTCTTGACATATACCAGTATGTCTGATCAAGTATACAGGCACTGTACTTCTATCACAAACCTAAATTTCAATAAGGTTAAAACAAGATCATTTGTTCTTGATACACTGTAGTAAACTGCCCCGTCTTTCCCCACAATATACACCTCCTGTGTGGACCCCAGACACTAACCTTCCCAGTAGCATATGCCTGGACGGGGAAGGGCGAGTGCCCCACCTCTTGGTCAGCATACTTGACCGACACCTTGTATTTGCCGCAGTCGTCGGGAACATACGAAGCGCTGAAGGTTCCATCTCCATTGTCCAACACCTTTACTTTACGTGGGTGGCCATCTGGTCCCTGAAATTACAAAATAATATATGAAAAATAATAATATTAATCACTTTAATGCTTACAACATATGTCTCCTTATCTATAAGTCTTTTAGTATTAAACGGACCTTTATAGTGACTCAGATAATCCTCCCTCACATATAAGAATAACATAACATAATTATAAAAAGGTGTTACTGACACACATATCAACACTAGGAAATTGGTGCACAAGAAGAAACTACTGTACATGCATTGTACAGTACTGTACTGTACTTGATAATTCAGCTTCCCAAAGGCTCTAGGATTATTAATGTTAAAAAGTGTAAAGAACAAGAGGAAAGGAAAACAAACAGTAAAACTAAAAGGAATTAAAAAAAAAATTGAAAAGAAAACCATTCTTGTTTAGAAGATTACATTGTGTAGTCAATAGTGATACAAACATCACCTGTGTATGAATAACTCCAAGATATACTGTGTGTGTGTGTGTGTGTGTGTGTGTGTGTGTGTGTGTGTGTGTGTGTGTGTGTGTGTGTGTGTGTGAGTGTCTATGTGTGTGTATGTGTGTGTGGGTGTGTGTCTGTGTGTGGTGTGTGTGTGTCTGTGTGTGTGTTTGTGTTGTGTGTGTGTGTGTGTGTGTCTGTGTGTGTGTGTGGTGTGTGTGTGTGTGTCTGTGTGGGTGTGTGTGTGTGTGGGTGGGTGGGTGTGTGTGTGTGTGTGTGTGTGTGTGTGTGTGTGTGTCTGTGTGTGTGTGTGTCTATGTGTGTGTGTTTTCCCAGCAATATTCATCACTTTTTACACTTGTATTGCACTACACTCTCCTACCATCTCCCTCCCTTCCTTGATGTTTGTTTCCCTTCCTCCTTATAAGAGAAAATAAAAAAAGGACTAAAGAATACAGGCAGACAGAGGTAGAAATTTGTTAAAGAGAGAATGACTAGAATGTATACAAAAATATCTAACAATAACTGGTGAGCACAAAAGAGGTGGCAGGTATGTGTGTACTTACAGTGACAGACACTTGAAGGTCTCCAACGCCGGCATCATTGGTGTCTATGACCAGCTCAGTGGGGAGTGATGCCGGGATACCTTTACTGGACACACCCGACCCTGACACCTTGACTCTGTTGGGCTCCACAGCTGGACGGACACGTGTGCGATATGGACTAAGGAGAGACAAATAATACAGTACAGTAAATCGTTTTTAGGTGTTTTTTTTCATAATTCTTTAATAAGTTTCTTAAAGCTTCTATCTCCTTAATTTCTTTGTAACCTTTGCTTTATGACTGAAATAAAAGCTGCTACTGTATAATCATTATTATACAGTACGTATAGTACAGAATCATTATGTTTACTATTTTACTGTACAGGTATTAAAGATCTTCCACTTTTCTAGAATTAAAACAGTTTCAGGTGTATTTGTCTTGTCACAGGAAGAAACTTTACCATTAAATACAGTAAAGTGTTTCCTAAATAATGTATAAAGGAACTACAGTATAAAAAAGTTTGAGCTAAATACAAATGAAAAATGTTTTAAATATCCAATTATGAATAAAATCATTAATTTTGTGACTTCAGCCTTTTACTCGACCTGATATGAACTTACATTATAATGAACCAAACCATCAGACACTTCCTCCTGTTATACAACTATATTCTTCACCCTCACCAAATACAGTAAATAACAACTCCAATAACACGTTTAAAAATGTTTGGGTTTGTAACTTTGGTGAAATTTGTATCACGTATTACTGTATGAAAAAAAAATCATTAAAAAAGTGCACCTTTCTCATACTACTGTAAATATTATTATTATTATCATTATTATTGAGTAATCTTAAAACTTTGCCAAAATTGTGACTCCTGGCAAAGCCCTGTTTCCTTTCTCCAGTTCTGTATGTATTAATTTACTATCACATCCACTACAAGTTATCTGATGCTCTATCTTGCTGGCGACTGTACAGGCTGCATCAAGCATATCAAACAAACAGAATAGTACAGTAGATGTACTTATAAAATGAGTGAGACATGTTTTCAAATTCATTCTATTTATCTGCTTATTAACATATACTGTAGTTGTTTTTGTCATCAATATGTCTGGATCAAGTATGAGACATTAGTTACACCCAGTCACTAACAAGCAGCTACCTCTACTTGCTACCTCAGTACAATACAGTATAGAAGTAACTCAATGGTGGAATAATTTAAGATGAAAAATGGATTCCATAACATAAAACTTAACCTGACCTAATGTAAGCTAAGCTAAGCTAATCTAACCTAACCTAACCTACCAGTGTTACTTTACAAATTATAGTGAAACCTCCATATGATGGCATTTCTCTCCATATAAGCCTTCAGATGGGATATTCACAACTAACAGACTCTCGATATCATGGAATTTCATCTCAGCATAGTCCATTAAATACCGGTAGAGGTTTCACTGTATATGCATTCTACAGTGGTACTAAATTATAAATGTAAACTAAAATTGGAAAGTTTACTTGAATGTCACACCATAAAAGATAATCATCAATGGTATGGAGGAGCCATACCTTTGTCAACCACTGTACCAAGGAATTCTCCCCTATCTACATCCTACAGTATATCCAGTACAGTATATTGCATGTACTGGTGTATAAAACTTTTCCCATCACCTAGGATTAAAAAGCCTCAATAATTTTTTGTTGTTCCAGAGCAAACAACCTGATAAATCCACCCATTAACTCTGACATGATAATACAGAGCAGTACACAGTAGTACAGTGCAGTACACAGTAGTACAGTGCAGTACACAGTAGTACAGTGCAGTACACAGTAATACAGTACAGTACACAGTAGTACAGTGCAGTACACAGTAGTACAGTGCAGTACACAGTAGTACAGTGCAGTACACAGTAATACAGTACAGTAGCATACAAGTCACAAACATTAACAGCACTTCTAATATATAAAGACAGACTGAAGAAATGATCCACACAAAATATGCCAACCATAAAATCTTCAAGTATTATATACCGTAACTATTACCAATTTGACCAACACTACACCCGAGGACAAGAATGACTCAGTAAAATATCACATACAGTACTGTGAAATTAAAAATAAGCCCCATAGGTCTGACAGCCTGTTAGGAACAGTATACATACAGCATACAGTGCTGTAAACTAAGCCTTCAGTGCACATGCAGGTAATATGGCCGGCACCGCACTCACTTCCCTACCTGTGGTGTTAGTATCCTATTTACAGCAGGGTGGACTGGGAGTGCCCAGGATCAAACCAGGAACACTTATGACAGGCAGTGAGCACTGTATCCACTCAGCGGCCACACCCCCACCACACATGGTAACTAGCTTAGAATAAGAGGGGTCGTTTACCAAGATACAATACAATACCAAGAAAACTCTAATACAAGCTATGGAGGCAAGTACATACAGTACAACAGCAGCGATCCAGATAAAATATGAAGAATCAAATGATCTTAGATCCATAACATTACTAAATTTAAGTTTAATAACCTGTTACCAAGGCAGTGGTGTTATTAATGTGTTAAAAGGGTGAACAAAAGTACAACATTTCATCACACTCTTTACAACACCATAAGAGGAGCATCAGCACACCAACAGTAAACTTTCAAAAATTATAATCTAGTTAAGGTAAAGGACTCAACATCATTATAATGTAATCAATAATGAGGGAGAGAAGGAAGGAGGCTCAAACAACTCAAAATAAAACAAAAACTAAGATAAGTCTTAAAAACCAAAACAAAACCAGGCGTGTGGATTAAAACAACATCCTCCGGGTCTATGGCAGCCAGCGGTCAAATAAAAAACTGGGACTACAGTACAGTACAGAACTGTGGTACTGACAGAGCAAGATGGCATCAGAGGGCATGGACAGCATGCCCCATGCCCTCTACAGTTTACCTTGTAAGCGGGCTGACTATTGAGGCAGATGCTGACCTCACGCGTAATCTGAATGGACTGCAGCCAGAAGAAACTATGGAATTATCTTGATATTAATGGATTCCTACTGCGTTAGACCACAGTTAATAATGGTGTTAACATTTTAAGTCAAACTTTATTAATGTCTTGAAAACAGTCATGAAAAATTTCCAAATAAAATAGAAATAAATACAAATATGTATTATCATAAATTAGGATAAAAAAAAATTTTTTTTTTAGAAAATGTTAAATCTAGGTCAGTACTAGAAACTGTAAAACATGTTATACTCTAAATATGAAACTTACTTCTTGTTATAACAAATACACTATAGAAGAAAGACAAGTACCAAACTACAGTAAAACAGTCAAATACAGTACTGTATAAACAAAACTCATTACCTGTACAGTACTAACAAAAGTAAAAATAACATATTATCCAAGTCAAACATGACTCCCTTAATTACTTATAACAGTAGATAATACACGAAGGCATCACCTTTATTTGGCTCTCCTTATTTGTATGCCTGTACTGTCTAGGTGCGGTAGCTAAAACAACCATCTGTGCAGGTGGGGGTCGATATGCTCCGAAATTTTACGTGTGACTAGTGACAGCCCTCGTATACCAAAATTTATCGTCCACGGTCTCATATTGTTTCCCACAAAGTATGTACAGATAGTTGCTTTAGCTACTGTACATTATAATGCAGGTACAGTATTTGTATATCTTTACTGTATGTGCTTTGTGTACATGCAATGTCTATATACATATTGAACTGTACTGTACTTGCAGTGTCTATGTACAGTCCCCCAAAATTATCATTACCCATGAGGTCGATGTAATTCATGGTTTAGTGAGCAGTGTTAGTCCAGTAGTTTCACAACAGTTGGGTACAGTCGACCACAGTGTACGCCATTATCTAATATGTGGATCAAATTATCTAATAACACTTAACACTATAAGAGTCACTCTCCCTGTAGGGATGTGTGTACAGTAAATGGTGTAAGAGTAATAACTATGTCACAGTACACTATGTCACAGTACCCTCACTATGTCACAGTACCCTCACTATTATCACAGTACACTATGTCACAGTACCCTCACTATGTCACAGTACCCTCACTATGTCACAGTACACTATGTCACAGTACCCTCACTATTATCACAGTACACTATGTCACAGTACCCTCACTATGTCACAGTGCCCTCACTATGTCACAGTACCCTCACTATTATCACTATGTCACAGTACCCTCACTATGTCACAGTACTCACCATGTCACTATGTACTCACCATGTCACTCATGTCACAGTACCCTATGTCACAGCACCCCCACTATGTGTCTAACAGTCACAGTACCTCACTATGTCACAGTACCTCACTATGTCACAGTAACCCTCACATGTCACAGTACCCCTCACTATGTCACAGTACCCCCACTATGTCACAGTACCCCCACTATGTCACAGTACACTAACTATGTCACAGTACCCTCACTATGTCACAGTACACTAACTATGTCACAGTACACTAACTATGTCACAGTACCCTCACTATGTCACAGAACCCTAACTATGTCACAGTACACTATGTCACAGTACCCTCACTATGTCACAGTACCCTCACTATGTCACAGTACCCTCACTATGTCACAGTACACTAACTGTCACAGTACCCTCACTATGTCACAGTACCCTCACTATGTCACAGTACACTAAGGGAGTTACCACAACACTTCAATCAACTGCTTCGTAATGTCACCACAGATAATAATATGAACTATCGTCTTATTTATGTCCACAATGTTTATGACTGGTTCTGTTCCCTCTAGTACCCACAATGTTTGTGACTGGTTCTGTTCCCTCTAGTACCCACAATGTTTATAACTGGTTGTCATGTTTCCTTCACTTACCTTTTTTGTCTTCTTGTAATGCTTTAGAAAATATGTAAGAGATTTGTAGATGTTATATAATTTATTATGGTGATTATAATTGATATCTCCATTAGCTGGAACAATTGGTGCAGAACACTTCTGGGAATGAGAGATTTCTGGGTGACGAGACGACTCTCTCAAAGACAGGAAGAAATCCCTCACCCCCAGAAAATTTTCTCAAAATTTTCCAGAAAATCGTTCTTAAAGTCGGAATTTTCCGGAAAATTCCGTCATTAAGAACGATTTTCAGAGAAAATTTCAATTCCGGCCATCAGAGAGTTCTGGGTTTGAGGGATTCTGGCTAATGGAGATATTACTGTACTGTACTGTGATATATTAATGCTGTAATATGACTTACTGCTGTGATATATTATGCTGTACAGTATTCTGACTTACACCTGTAAGTACTGTGATATATTAGTATGACTTACTGCTGTGATTATTTTGTGTTATATTCACATTAATGTTTGTCTGATGATGTCATGTAAAGAAACAATATAAATTATGTAATACATTGCATAATAATAACTGCCTTGTAAAACTCTAGAAAAAAGATACAAATTTACCGAGACAAAAAATACAATTATAAAAGACTTCTATAAGCAACTGAACTAAAATTAAAAAGTTTGCGTGTGCAGTAACATGATATATATATATATATATATATATATATATATATATATATATATATATATATATATATATATATATATATATATATATATATATATATATATATATATATATATATATATATATATATATATATATATATATATATTTATCTATCTATATCATGCATATACTGTACAGAGAGAGAGAGAGATGATCCACTTAGGAATAATAAAGGCCAGTACTGCTTCTCACAGGGGTCTCAAATGCCCTAACAACAATAACAAACTTTCCATGTTTGTTTGTTTTAGTTTATTTTCTGAGTTTACCAAACATATAAAACTAAATTTTATTTATTTATTTATTTATTTGAAATCACCATAATTTTTTATTAAAGTAAATCTTAATGTAATATTTTGGGAGCCAGAACACAGCCCTTTACTTCCCATAGGCAAGACAGATTTACAACTCACAGTGCTTACAAACCGTGAGGTCCGTCTCAATCTCACCCCAAGGATCAGGCAAGATTTACTGCATATATATATCTACAGTACTCTTACCATGCACTTAATCAAATCTATATACTGTACTGATTTTTTCCTAGCATGCTTATCACTAACGATTACCATTACTATTATTACAGTATTATTATTACTATGGTAAAGTAATCCAGTTGAGGGGAACTTGCCCCAATACCTACCTTCCAGGTACAGGTTTTCCTCCCCAGGTAACATTAGCAGTCTGCATGGTTCCTTCAGCATGAGGAACGTACGTCACATCGTAGGTGCCGTCACCATTATCACGGACGTCTGGACTCTTGGGTAACGCACCTGTGAGGTAAACAAGGATCACTAAGAGGCCCCACATAAAAAATCACGGTAAAGAATTATAAAATGTGTTTGTTGACATGGTTGATCAAACTAAAACACCCGGACAAATGTACATCTGTATGTGTTGGTTACACTGTGTTTGAGGTCTATCTAAGAGAAACTTTATAACTACATGTTCTTATATCAATAAACTTTTCAGGATACTCATGTGGATGGATGTAAATGCACCCTCTAAGTCAACACAACATACTGCACTGTACCAATATTATCTTCATTAACTGAATAACTAAAGTGACATGATGTTAATGTTCTTCACAAGAAGTGAGTAGCAGTCCCACCAACTAACCTTTCTCTGTTGTTATATCAACTCCTAGAGGCGCCTTGCCAGACTTTGAGCCGTCAACATGGAAAGTGAGAGGCACACCTGCCCGGACCTTGCTAGGCTCCAGACCATTGCCCCAAACCACCACCTGTGATGCATCTACATTCTGGTCCACAGACACCTGAGATGATACACCATAATAATGTGAAATGAGACACTGGAGAGTAACATTATAGTAACATAATATGTGGAATGAATCAGCATATCCTAAACTAAACTTAAAGTCAGTTTATGCAACTCGACTCACAAATGACTGTCAATTGCCGAGACAGGAAACACCTGAGGCGAGACCTCGGTCAACAACAAAATTTTCAGCCTGAGTAACATATATGTCCACTGTTTCCTCTTAAAGTTAATTCATTATTTTATTTTACTGTGAAACTTTCATAGTACTGTACTGTATTGTACTGTATTGTACTGTACTGTACTGTACTGCACTGTACTGTACTGTACTATAATCAAATAAAGAAACGTGTTATTGAAATGGATATAGAACTTTCCTGACATTTGATGACATTCCCATGAGTATTATGATATAGTCAAAGGGTTAAGCCATTGATACCTGTACAGAATAATTTTATTTGATTTAATTTGCTGCACATTACATGAGAGTAAATGAGGAGACATTGGACAATCAGGCAACTGGGCGAGTGACCGTGTGGTGAAGACGAGTCTACTTGTCCCCAGGGAGTTTGACGAGTAAGTTATATGGTGACTGTACGAGAATGATGACACATTGAAAGCTTATTTGTAAACTTAATAACAATGTAAGTGTTAGAGAATAATGAAATAAGTTAGTGAAATAAATAAAAATACTAGTAGTAAAAAATGCACTATTTAAGCATATTTCCATGATATTGTACAGTATACTATAATGTATTTAGGAAAAGCAATGAAATAGCAAAAAATATTTATAACTTAAAGTTCTTTGTTCATAAATAAAATCATGAGACAAGAAAAATCATAATCTGGAATTTCCATAGAGTGAACCTCCATGAACCAGGGACTGCTTATGGTGAGCATCAAAGGGAAAATTACTTTAGTGTTACGGGATTTCACATTACAGACAGTTGTACAAGACTGCATCCTTTCCATAATGTGGAGAAGCCTGTATGTAGTCTCCACAGTATAGTACACTTACACACAACAGGATACACAAAAACACAAACATTTAAAACTGCTAATTTGCCCCATTAGTTTACCTTGAATGGTGATCCTGGAATGTGTTGGTCAGCAAACTTGATGGCAACATCGTAGCAGCCAGCCTCAAGAGGCACGTACTCCACCGTGCACGAGCCATCTCTGTTGTCCTTACATGTCATCTTGGCTTCAGATGGTCCCTCAACAGCCAAGCCAAGACCTCCTGTGCCGGCACCTACGACCATCGTGAGAGAGAGAATATAAGAGAAGGGCGGATACATCTATCACCATTGACTTAAGGTACAATAATAGAATTAATCATTTATGATGAAAGGAAGTCTTATTAACAAAAGAAAAAATCTTGAAAATACATACTGTACTGTATACTGTACTTACTCACTTTGACAACACATAAAAACAGCTGACATATTTCAATGAACACTTTATGAAAATTTACATATTAAAAGACATAAAAAAAGAGTAAAAACAAGAATTATTTAGTCAAGCAACAACCTTAAGCAAGAATACTGTACAATAAAAAGTTTCAAGATAACACCAAACACAACACAGATCCCACAATTGTTACTTCCCCATGAACTAAGAGTCAACAGCACAGTATATACATCACATTCACCTGCCCTCACAGCTTTATTTCAGGGACTCATCTGTAACATGATACTGTTTTTAACTTGGTGTGTGTGTACTGGTGGTCCATGGCCCTTTGTGTGTACAGATGTTACTGGTGGTCCATGGCCCTTTGTGAGTGTACAGATGTTACTGGTGATCCATGGCCCTATGTGTGTACAGATGTTACTGGTGATCCATGGCCCTATGTGTGTACAGATGTTACTGGTGGTCCATGTGAGTCAAGTGTGAACCTTTATGGACATCTAAACCTCATAGGAAGATACTGTATGTATCTTCTCACCCCAAGTAAACTTTTATACACTAGTGATCTTTGCTCTAGAGACACCGTGATAAAGACTCCTGTACAAACACTGGCTCTGAGTCTGTGAAATAATGCCTTAATTGTTTCTTACCTTTAGTCTCCACGGTGAATGTGTTGACCTCGTTGACAAAGCCGTGGTCGAGACCAGGACCGAAGGCATGGCACTTGTTGGGGTCACAGCCCCTCCTTACGTTGACGGTGAAGGGAGAGCCAGGCACGGGTACACCGTCATACAATAAGTCAATTGTGTGACGACCTGGGGAAGATGTGTGACTTACTCTAAACAACTTCTTGATGATGGCTCAAAGATGTTAACAAACGTCAACATCTAAAACTAATTGTCTTGTTTATCTTCTGACCAGTAATGTACTGTATTGTACTGTAACTCATAAGAACATTCTCTCATATAAGTTTTGCCATTCTTAAACTATTCCACAAGTATTTGAGTAACATTATATTAGTTCAGTTAGCAAACCTTATCCACAAATACTGTGATGAGCTGCCTATCTGTCATTTAGGGAGAATATATATATATATATATATATATATATATATATATATATATATATATATATATATATATATATATATATATATATATATATATATATATATATATATATATATATATATATATATATATATATATATATATATATATATATATATACTCTATATATATATATATAGTATATATATATATATACATTTTTGGTGTCTCCATTTGTTAATTTTTTTTCTGTGGGGTTTGCACAATAGTATACTGTTTTACCTACAGTATTGTAAAACGATTTGGGAAAAGAAATACTCGGTAACTTAAAATTTTAAAAGGAAAATTTTGAAACTGGCAACTGTGTGTAGATGACCTGACTCACATCATATTGATGTTTCAAATTTAATTAAAAAAAATTTATGTATCTATAAATAAACTTTTAAAAATGAATACTTTATGTTTTACATACTCCTGTGCATACCATACCATGCATTTGGCTACTTTGGGCTTGCTATGATGACGCAAGAGATCTGCCCTGGCAACTGTACCGACACTCACAGCGGGTGGTGCGTTGGTGCATCGTTTCCATTGTTTACTGGTAGTTACTGGTAAATTTTTTTCAACCTAACGAAACTATTACCCGTATAGAGGTCGACCCCCAACTTTTTGCCCAAAAATTTGGTCTTAAGAACTCGTGTATCAGTATATAGGCATATATATATATATATATATATATATATATATATATATATATATATATATATATATATGTATATATATATGTATATATATATATATATATATATATATATATATATATATATATATATATATATATATATATATATATATATATATGTATATATATATATATATATATATATATATATATATATATATATATATATATATATATATATATATATATACATATATATATATATATATATATATATATATATATATATATATATACATATATATATATATATATATATATATATATACATATATATATATATATATATATATATATATATATATATATATATATATATATATATATATATATATATATATATATATATATATATATATATACACATATATATATATATATATATATATATATATATATATATATATATATATATATATATATATATATATATATATATATATATATATATTACAGCATATATTAAACTCTACATATCAGTAATACTTACCTTCTTCAAAAGGTGTGTAAGAAATCTTGTATGTGCCATCAGTGAGTGGCCTCAGGAATGAGTCAGTGCGAGTTCCAGATGGATTTGTGATGACACACATGACTTTACCGTCTCCCTTGTCACCGCCCTTTGAGTCTTTTTTCAAATTGGCAAGAGCTCGAGTGTCGACCACAAAGTCCGTAGGGGAGTCAACAAAGACACCTAAGCAGAAATTTATCATTAGAACAAAGTTTATGATTCATTGTTATTATCAGTACAAGAAATTACTTAAATTTGCATATTACAATAATACAGTAGTAAATAATTCAAATTTGATATAACAAGACAAACAGCAAAATAACCAAATGCTACACAGTACATCGGGTGAGGATCATGTAATTCACTTCATAACTACAGAACACAGTTAGTTACTTAATAACTCAATAAAAATCATTCAGCAACAGAGTGTAAGTTTCCAGTTACGATACACACAACACAACACAGTAAGTCACTATAAAACACACCATTTCCAGGTCATAATGTGGATGGTGACCCATCATGTCCAGAGTAAATCTCTCGTCAATTCTGTAAATCAATTCATGTATAAAAGGCATGCCAGATTAGCAACAAGAGTGTTGACACGTATTAATTCGTGGTAGTGAAATAATATATCACATTTTCTACTTCTAAACCTCGTGCTGAAACGTCAAACATCTTCAACACTGAGGAACTACAAGTCCTACAACACTGACCCACACAGGAGGCACAAGAGAGGGACTACCATGAGGTTGGATGCCGTTGCCAGTCACTCTGATCTGTTTGAGGTCTTGGTCATGAGCGATGAGAGCGTGGAATGGAGACCCGTGGATGTGTCGCTCGTTGAAGGTGATGTTGATGGTATAATGCCCAGCTTCAGTGGGTAGATAAGCCACAGCACACGTTCCATCTCCATTGTCTCTGCAGTTTATGGCTGCTTCACACGGGCCCTCCACTGTTACTCCAAGGCCGCCCTGACCGGCTTCTCGGGTGTCTATGACAAACTCCGCTGGACGGCACACTACGCCCCCCTCCAGTCCTGGTCCCCACGCTCGTACTGCTGATGCATCACCGCCGGGTGTGCAGGTAAATCTATATGGTGCTGAGCTGATGGGTTGACCACCAAACTGGATGGACAGCAAATATTCTCCCAATTCCGTTGGAGTGAAATTCACCAGGTAACCCTCGTGAGTGGGCACGACGTGAGCACGCACTCGCATGCCCGAGGGTGAAGTGATGGACACGGCGAAGTCTGCCCTTCCAGCATCTTGCGTGATGACTCGGAACTGCTGCAGAGAGTTGATGGGCGCCGCTGTTGTGGTGATCACCAAGTAAGCTCCACCAGTCATACACACTTATAACATGCACTTATAAGCCAAAAACACAAAAAACTTAATCAACAAAAGAAGTGAACAAAAAGCTACATAATGTTACACTACTTATACAACTAACAAGCAGAACCTCAGGTCAGTGTGATTTTTATTCAGGAGATAAATTTTTATCTTAACACAAAAGGTTCATAACACACTGCAGCTAAGGCATCTTCTTGAACAGATTTACAGACACTCGAGGAATAAGGAACAAGGATATTTACACACAGGAATAAGAAGACCAAGCACTAGTAACATAAAGGTGAGTGTGGTGGTCTCAGGTACTTTGTGGTTGAGGAAGGATATTTTGGTCTGTACAGTGTATGGAGGTAGAGCAACATAGCGTGTTTACTTGGGGCTCAGGCGTAACAACACACTACTAGCAACAACGGGTTTAACTAAGGATAAGATACAAAATGAAAAGAAAAAACATAAAATTTGGAGTTTGGAAAAGGATGTATTGTGTGAGTTTTAGAGGAAGTGTCTGTGAGTGGGAGGAAGTACTGTATATACTGTAGTGACTTATCAGTGCCTGTCTCATACTACAGTCAATACCAAGTTCAAGATGGTACTGATACACTGATGATGTCGACTGTGACTTTAATACCTGATACCAGACTCAATTCTCAGATCAATGTAGTACAGGACTGACAGACAGGCGATGTTATACATGATTGCTGATGCTTAATGGCAGAGTCACTTTACAATATCAGATGGTGTTGACCATATGATAGATTACACTACATGCCACTTAGATGATTGAAAAGTTATCGTACCCAACTCTAACCTAACGAAACCTAAGCTAACCTAACCTAATCACCTAAAAGCGATAGTTAAAATCACACTAAACAGACAATCATCCAGATGGAAATCAGCCATTTTGGACAACACCAAATATGTCATTTTTTTTTGTTTTTAATTGACAGTCAATATACAAGTGGTCTGATCCTTCTGTCCTTGTCTGTCTCACTGCACACAAGTACAGTATTCATTATCTCAGAGTGAGACACTGCAACCCTACTTGTAGAGAAGGTATCAGCCACCCTCCTTGGGTACTACTGGACTGCACCTCCAAAAACAACCAGTTATAATCTTTCTACAAGTTACACTGACGAAATGTACTGTATAAGTGTGTTTTCCACATACTGTTAATGTCACACCTAAATGTATTTTGATATAGAGATGAGTTTAAAATTTCAAATTTATTATATTATACAGAATAGTAAATTGCTTTTATATAGATTATCTATTTTCTTGGTCACGACTCTTCCCACTTATGATGCAAGAGTTATACACACATATGTTATTCCTTCCTTTGTTATCATACAATCCTTCTAACTGCTGTAGTGCCTGTGTTCTGCTTTGACATTTTCCTGGCACAAGTACCCTAATCTAGTTTACCTGTACAGTACTATTGCTTCTCACAGGCCTGCAGTATAACCTAGTACAATACTGTGGATATATATATATATATATATATATATATATATATATATATATATATATATATATATATATATATATATATATATATATATATATATATATATATATATATATATATATATATATATATACTGTATATATATATATTGTATATATATACTGCATTAGTACAAAACATATTGAGTTTTAAAAGTGATTCTCACTTTACTTTCAAAGTTCTAATGTTTTCCTGCCACACACACACACACACACACTTAACACTCATTATGAATGTAACTAAAAATACAAGTTTACTGAAATCAACAAACAGACCAATTGTCTGTACAAAAAGACAAAACAACCAAATGGGCAGAAATGTACCCGGTACATTATATTAAACTGCCAGGTAATACAACAATTCCTTTACATCAACAAAAGAGACTAAACAAAGTGTCCAACGTTAAACTTGATCACATTACACCTCAGATGACACACATACAGTGAAGGAATGATACATCAAATACCATATATTCCAGAATAAAACAATGATATACAGTAAGTCATAAGCTCTATAACCTACAACAGCTGATACATTACAATACTGTACTACTCAAAACCCACAAAGAAAACATTACTTAAAGCACTACAATGAGTACAGAGGAAAAGAAGCACAACCAAAACACTTCAAGAAGTCACAATAAAGATGCTCAGTGCTCTAGTGGACACAAAAAATACGAGAAGCAACACACAACTTGCCACCATCCTCCTCCCCATTACCAGGGCCAGTCCAGACTCCCCTTTCCATCAAAATTCCAATACTTTTTCTTTACTTCAGTATTGTACTCAGGCATTTTTGCACAGTAAAAAGTAATTACGATTGATCTCAGAATATCTCCTATCAAGTGCCTTTGGCTTCAAAATGGCTTCAAAATGCTCGCTGTGTTCCCCATGTTCCCCCCCACAACTTTTGCAACCCCTCCCTTGATATTCCTGGATCTGCCCTGATTACCCCACTCCTATACTTCCCTTTGTTTAAACATATCAATGAAAGCACCACACAAACTATCTTAACTTTCAGTATTCATCAATGGCTACTTTAATAATGAAGAATTCCTAATCAGAAAATTTAACAACCCAAAAAACGCACGCACGCACGCACGCACGCACACACACACACACACCATACAAAATAAGTTCCTAATTTCACAATGACTCACAACTTTCCTCATAACTCACAACCTCACTTCAAACTGAATTACTGAGCTCAATAAATGAAGAGCTTCAATCAGAGAAGTACTACTGACATATCAACAAAAATATAGAAGTTGCGATGTGAGCAAATAAAACTCTCGACAACATAAACTTTAGTCACCCATGGAGGAGGTGAATATACAGAGTAAGCCATTAATCTAAGAAATCTATTGACATTTACCTCCTGCATTCTGTATCCAAAGTCTATTATTCGCAATGTTTTTTTTTTTTCACTATTGGACATTTTGTTTTAAGCACATTGAAAAAAAAAACAATCATACGTGATCCTAAAATTTTTGTGACCTTAAAAACAGAATAATTAAAGCTTATTCTCACATTACAACACACACTTTATATAGTGTTGTTCAGTGTCCATAAATAACCAGATTACTACAGCATATTTCACTTTTCACCATTCATTACTTCTCATGGTTGCCTTTAAATGACTCCACACCTCCTATGGAATAAACAATGCAATACTTTAACGAGGAAACATGTCAATTCAATTTTCAAAACATTAATTACTGAGAAATTGGCCGTTAATTCTCGGTGGTAGTCGGGTAGGTCCTTGCTACCGTTCTAGATGTGACTCGCCAATAAGAGGTTCAGTTCCGGCCAGTTCCGACAACAGCGTGTGACTTAAACAGCACAATGGTATATTAATCGACTGTCCTATTCTCCTCCCTTCTCAATGTGGCGGGTAAAGAGAAACAAACCCCAAGAAACAGAAGAAAACTGAGAGAGTGTAAAGCTAGATGGGGGAGAAAAGTACGACATGAGGAGAAATTGAGAGAAAAGGCCGAAACAACTTAAAGAAACACAAGTTATAATTTCCAGAGTAAAAAAAAAATTCTAGTTTGGCCTTAAATACTCAGAGTTAGGCAGCTGCTCTACTGCCATAAATTCCAAGAATGATGACATATTTCTGTTTTTTATTAGAAACAATTTTAAATCTTAATATTTACATCTAGACAAATGAATGCATCGAGTACCTCTACTATTTATGTTAAACAATTACCTCAATAATAAACATAGGGAGTCCAGACATAAATAAAGATGAACAAAAGTACACAAGAACTCATGCAACTGAAGCATAAAAGAGACTAAATCCAAACCATATACAGTACAGTGTTTGAAGTATGAACCACCTGAATGGTTAGTAAAACGATAAATGATGAAATGATAAACAAATAAACAGGTAATTAATGCCAGATGTAGTACTCAGAACCTTAAATACTGATACTGATGAACTTTAACGATTTTGGTTTATGATAGAGCAAGTACAGAGAGACCATACAATATTTTACTGAACTAGTCAACACAAGGACATGAACTGTCTATGCATCGGTGTTATCCCAGAGTCATAATAATGATCTTCCACACAAGTACCATCTCCTCATATCTGTTTTTCGTGATGTTTTGAGGATTGTGTTGATCTCGCACACCTTTCATCTTTTCCCGAGTACAGTAAGTAATTAATCTGAATATATGTAGAGAGGAAAATAGTTAATCAAAAGAGGCCAAAAATAAATGGTGATAGCAAGATACAATGGACGATTACAGTTTAGCTATAAAACGGAATCTATACATTTATAAAGAGTAACAACAATACAGTGCAGTATTACAAAAGCATTCACATTTGCCTCTTCAAAATACAGTATCTCATGAATCTAAACTTGGCCAGGATACTACAGTGTAAAACCAACACGGAGACCACAACACTGATGACTGAATTTATAAGTCAACCTACAATTAATCTATCAAATCACATCACCCCTTTAATATTTTTTTCCACACTTTACATCAGAGGAAGACCAGAACTAAGCCCAACACCCACTCTCCCTCATACACCAATAGCCAGTAAGTCTTAATCCTCACTGCTTTATCAGATGTGGTCCTCCCTACCCACAGCAATGCCCCAAAATATCTACTACAGTCAAGCCTCTTTTTAACGAACCTCCACTTTATGTATATACTGTAGTCCGTTAATTGGAGGTTTACATCTAATGGACCTTAGGATTTAATGGCCTTCCCTCTTCATTTAGTCCATTAGATGAAGGTTTCACTCTATATCTCATTTACACTTATTACATCACACATAACTATCTCACCACAACCTTCTTCAAATTCCACTTCACAGCATGCACACACACAAACATGCAGCACGCACACACACAAACACACACACACACACACACACATCATTGCTTCCTGCTTACTTTTCACAAGGTTTAATCTGCTGAAAACTTAACATCACCAGGGCTGA